AAGGAAAAAGTCTTCGTGTTATTTGCAGCAGACTGCAGAAAAGTTTAGATATTTTCTCTTCTTATTTACAAAAATGGAAGATTTCTCCCAACGCTTCCAAAACTCAACTTATAATATTTCCACACAAGCCTAGAGCTTCGTTTTTGAAACCTAGTAGTAGTCACATAGTCACTATGAACGGAGTTCCAATTTCCTGGTCAAACCAAGTGAAATATCTTGGATTAATACTTGACCAAAAATTAACTTTTAAAGATCACATTGAGGGCATTCAAGCCAAATGTAACAAATATATTAAATGTTTGTATCCTCTTATAAACAGGAAATCCAAACTTTGCCTGACGAATAAACTTCTAATATTTAAACAAGTTTTTAGACCGGCCATGCTTTACGCTGTGCCAATATGGTCTAGTTGTTGCACTACCAGGAAAAAAGCACTTCAAAGGATTCAGAACAAAGTTCTGAAAATGATTTTGAAGTTGCCTCCCTGGTACAGTACTACTGAGGTACATAGAATTTCGAATGTTGAGACTTTAGAACAAATGTCCAACAAAATAATTAATAATTTCAGGCAAAAATCGTTGCAATCCTCAATTGCAACGATTAATTCCCTTTATACTTAGATAAGATTTAGTTTTAGTTTTTAGTTTTAAGATTTCAATTGTTATACTGACATGCAGGTTTAAAAAACCTGTTTAAAATACTTAATTGCCAAGACATGAACAATGTAAAAACACTTAGATATATATCATAACAATTAAGGCTGGTACGTTACTGCAGTAACTGGAGCACCTAGGTTAAAAATGAAATGTAATTTATTTTGAATTTAGAACAAATAAAGAGTTAAAAAAAAAAAAAAAAAAAAAAAAAAAAAAAAAAAAAAAAAAAAAAAAAATTCAAAGACGAATCAAACATAAAATTCTTTCTTCATTTGAAACCAAAGTTTTTGAAACTTTGGGAGTTTCTGTTGAAACAAAATTTGGACAACTTACGTTTATAGCTGCCTATTTGCCATTCCAATGCGTAGGCAAGCAAAAGAATTTTCTCAAGGGTGACCTCCAGAAACTTACCCGTCATAGGTCTAAATTCTTCATTATTGGTGATTTTAATGCAAAACACCGCTCATGGAATAATGCTCAAAGCAATTCCAATGGTAATATTCTGTTTGATGATTGTTCTGCAGGTTATTACACTATTCAATATCCAAACAGCCCAACATGCTTTTCTTCTGCAAGAAATCCCTCAACTATTGATTTGGTCTTAACTGATTCATGTCAACTTTGTAGCCAATTGGTTACCCATGCTGACTTCGGTTCTGATCACCTTCCAGTAACTTTTGAAATATCCCAAGAAATAATTTCTAATCCCAACAGCTCTACTTTCAATTACCATAGGGCTGATTGGGAGCAATATCGAACATTTATGGAATATAACTTCGATCCAAACATTTCTTTGCAAACCAAAGATGAAATTAATTATGCTCATGAAACTCTGACTACTTCTATACTTGCAGCAAGAGCTGCCTCAGTACCAAAATGCGAGGTTAAATTCAATTCAATTATAATACACGACGATCTTCAGCTCTCGATCCGTCTTAAAATGTCCGTAGGAGACAATATCAAAGAACACGCGATCCTGCCATGAAGGTTATCTGGCGGAATTTGCAAAAACAAATTAAAAAGCGATTCTCTGCCCTGAGGAACAAAAGTTTTGAAAATAATATTTCTAAATTAGACCCGAGTTCCAAACCCTTTTGGAAACTCACAAAAATTTTGAAAAAACCTCAAAAGCCTATTCCAGCGCTTAAAGAAGGTGGTAAAATTTTGATCACAAATTTGGAAAAAGCTCAGAAACTTGCTAAGCAATTTGAGAGTTCCCATAATTTCAGTTTGGGTCTTACTAGTCCTATTGAGAATCAGGTTGCTCGGGATTTTCTGAATATTTTCTCTCGGGAAAATATTTTTGATGATTCCTGGGGGACTGATTTGGACGAAGTAAGGCCTATAACTAAAAAGTTTCAAAATATGAAAGCTCCAGGTGATGATGGAATTTTCTATATCCTCATCAAAAAACTCCCAGAGAGTACCTTGTCTTTCTTGGTAAAATTATTTAACAGATGTTTCCATTTGGCATACTTTCCTGATAAATGGAAAAATGCAAAAGTTGTTCCAATTTTGAAGCCGGATAAAAATCCAGCTGAAGCTTCTAGCTACCGCCCAATAAGTTTGCTTTCTTCAATAAGTAAACTTTTTGAAAAGATAATTTTGAATAGAATGATGCTTCACATCAATACGAACTCAATTTTTGCAGATGAGCAGTTTGGATTTCGCCATGGGCATTCAACTACTCATCAACTCTTAAGAGTTAACAATTTAATTCGTTCAAACAAATCTGAAGGCCACTCAACTGGAGTTGCTCTTCTAGACATAGAAAAAGCATTCGACAGTGTTTGGCATGAAGGTTTGATTGCTAAATTGAAAAAGTTTAATTTTCCACTTTATATTATGAAATTAGTTCAAAATTATTTAACTGACAGAACTCTGCAGGTAAATTATCAAAATTCCAAATCTAATCGACTACCTGTTAGAGCAGGAGTTCCTCAGGGTAGCATTCTTGGGCCTATATTGTATAACATTTTCACTTCGGACCTCCCTGATTTGCCTCAGGGTTGCCACAAATCTTTGTTCGCTGATGACACAGGCATTTTCGCTAAAGGAAGAAGTCTTCGTGTTATTTGCAGCAGACTGCAGAAAAGTTTAGATATTTTCTCTTCTTATTTACAAAAATGGAAGATTTCTCCCAACGCTTCCAAAACTCAACTTATAATATTTCCACATAAGCCTAGAGCTTCGTTTTTGAAACCTAGTAGTAGTCACATAGTCACTATGAACGGAGTTCCAATTTCCTGGTCAAACCAAGTGAAATATCTTGGATTAATACTTGACCAAAAATTAACTTTTAAAGATCACATTGAGGGCATTCAAGCCAAATGTAACAAATATATTAAATGTTTGTATCCTCTTTTAAACAGGAAATCCAAACTTTGCCTGACGAATAAACTTCTAATATTTAAACAAGTTTTTAGACCGGCCATGCTTTACGCTGTGCCAATATGGTCTAGTTGCTGCACTACCAGGAAAAAAGCACTTCAAAGGATTCAGAACAAAATTCTGAAAATGATTTTGAAGTTGCCTCCCTGGTACAGTACAACCGAAGTACATAGAATTTCGAATGTTGAGACTTTAGCACAAATGTCCAACAAAATAATTAATAATTTCAGGCAAAAATCGTTGCAATCCTCAATTGCAACGATTAATTCCCTTTATACTTAGATAAGATTTAGTTTTAGTTTTTAGTTTTAAGATATCAATTGTTATACTGACATGCAGGTTAAAAAACCTGTTTAAAATACTGAATTGCCAAGACATGAACAATGTAAAAACACTTAGATATATATCATAACAATTAAGGCTGGTACGTTACTGCAGTAACTGGAGCACCTAGGTTAAAATGAAATGTAATTTATTTTGAATTTGGAACAAATAAAGAGTTAAAAAAAAAAAAAAAAAAAAAAAAAATTCTATTCGATTCGAAAGCTATCTTTTGATGTATAAATATCCCGCTGGATATCGGCATTTTGAGATATTGAATTAAATGTCTTTAAAAAAAACCATTGTGCAGTGTTTTCAGTCTGTCAAGCATTCTTTCCACTATTTGGCATCTGGTTAAGTGGTCTTCGTCTTCACAACCAAGTTTACCACCATTCGGTCTTTTGTCCCTTTTTGAGTCATTCGCTATTTTTTTTCATTCAAATATTGTCCCCCTTTGCATATTTCGAACTGCTGTCCTGCTTTCATTCGAGCATTAGTATATTCGACCTGTTATCATCTGACGTTTTTGCCATTCGACCTTTTTATTTTGTTCCTTTTTTGAATCATTCGACCTTTTGCTCATTCGTTTTTGTACTTTTTCATTGTTAAAAAAGTAGTAGTAGTGCGAGAACCGATAATATGCTCTATGGACGAATGAAACTTCAAGCTATCATTAAAATATTCATGTCATGGCTAATGTGATGACCATGTAAACAACGGGTACCATTTCGCAAATGGATCGTATTCCATTACTGGTTCACATATTTCAAGCGTTTTCTAATGGAAATCTTCCAATACTTAGAGAAATTATTAAACGGAGATCTGTAATTCTCATCTATGGTTTCTACGGTTTTAGTTAAACACATGATTTTCAAAAACAAGGAAATTATTGTCCAGGAAATCGGTGGAAAACCTGTAATTTAAGAATGAAAATGTATTTTTCCAATAGGATTCCATTGCAGCAGTTGCTTTCATGTGAACTCTAACTCATGCATCACCAATGCACTTTGATGCACCGAAGAGACGCCCCTAAGTAAGCACTGTATTTGTCACTCTGATCTCTCTTCAATTGTCGAATAAATCTTTCGCCTTTTACTAAAGATTTCCGTGGAGAGGGATACTCTAATGAGTCTGAAGTGAATTTTTGTACAGACTCGATCCTTAGTTGGATCGAGCATTATGATTCCGAAAGCGATATGCCCTTGGCTTTGTGAATGCACATTCCACGTTAGCATCACTGACCCAGAGACTAATCAGCGCAAACCATTTAATAGCGGTGCACCATTTGCTATATCACCTCGCGGTGCACAAGTTTAGTATTTCATGCGCATCATCCGAGCTATTCGCATTCAAGAAGTGCATTCAACGACCCTATGCAGGGGAATTACGTTACGCTATTGGATACGCTTGTACGTTCTGTACGCATACCGGTTCGATTTTACGTTGTTCTATTCAAATTCCCCTGGCCTAGCCGGGCGGGCGAGGTTGTATGCACAATCAAGTTCACTGCTAAAATCATTGGACACGGCTCATTGGAGGCCGATGACAGATTGTTCTACCCATGCATGCTGTCTTAATAGACTAAGCATCTTTAGTATCAGCCACTAATATTCCACTTTTGTATCATTACAGTTAACGACCGAGTAGTGGTTTCCCGCTCGTGTGCCTGGGAAGACGTCAATGCTACACCGAACAGCTGTGTCAACGCCCAAACGCCGTCCTACATCCGAACTGATTTCTGCGAAACCTGTACGACCGATGGTTGCAACGGAGCGTCCCAGTATGGCCCTGCCGTGGCCATGGTGCTACTGATGGCCCTGGTAGCAAAGCTGCTTGCCTGGTAAACGCAGAACCCGGCCCGATACCCCAACCAATTTTACCCTTTGTCCATAAGCTTTAAATATAGATCAGATCGGAAGACGCACGTTATGAATCAAATCAAACCGATACCATCGTTGCCTTAATTGTTTTTCGAAAGACTTTTTATGAATAGTAACTATTTATTGCATCTCGATCCCATTTGAAACTGAACAGAACAACCTTCCCCGTAATTAAACATGACGCACTATGAAAACGATCAAACTAACCCGGTCTCGTAGTTTCAATAGAGCTTTCCAAACAGCAATTACCAGCTGTGAATGCGCTTACACCATAGACATACCAAATACGAATAAAAATGTACAAATGTAACGTTTACATCACTTACGATTTCATAAACGGTTAAATTAGTTGCACCTGCTTGCAGCAACAAGAAAAGGCAGCAGAGTTGGAGATGAAAAGAATCTGTTATTTGTTGTTACTACATACTAGAAGTGCTCGGCGCACATTTGGATATCTACTATCATCCATCTTAAACAATGAAGCACCAGTTTTCGGGATAACTGTAAACGTAATCAAAAAGTTTTACACTACACTGTTTTTTTTTCTTGATCGTCCACTGGTTATCTAGGATAAGGCCTTTCCATGTACATAATAATTATAATTGATAACGGTAAATCAAATAAAGCGAATCTGTTTCTAAAAGACCAACTGGAAGTGGTGTTCTTATTGGAGAAAGAAAATTCTTGCTACCTGTATTATTCCAGTATTATCCCCTAATGCAGGTAAGTGCAATGGGCTTTGAAGATGTGGTCATCGCTAAGAAAACGATTCATAGTCCAGAGACCTCCCCAGAGCATCACCGTGTTCGTCACTCTGATCTCTCTTCAATTGTCGAATAAATCTTTCGCCTTTTACTAAAGATTTCCGTGGAGAGGGATACTCTAATGAGTCTATAGAGAATTTTTGTCGTGACTCGATCCTTAGTTGGATCGAGCATAATCCATTAAAAAAAATAGCTTCGCTTTGCGATTATAAGCGCTTTTCTAAATTAGAACAACGCATTTAATTTGATCTTCTAACGTACTGTATTTAAGAAATTCCATGAAAAAAAGTTCCACCGAAAACAAAAATTTGCTTCCAAATCTTGTATATTTGTTCCTCATGCTTTAACATATTGTTCGACTTGTATGTAGGAAGATTCATTTTTATAGCTTTCTCAGTCTAGGGTAATCAAAACGATAAGTTATGCATTGCCCGACGTTTTCGGCCGTTTATTGTGGCTTTTTCAAGGGTAAAATTGTCTACCTGCTTCCTCAAAATAACCGTTGTATAGTGTAGTGTCGTATAGTGTCCAATTTTAATTGAAATCAAACTAAATGAACCATATAGTAAGCTCCTCCAAGCTAAACACGCTTATCGTGGCAACATACACAATTTAACGACAAGTCGTAGACAGTTTTACCATTGAAAAAGACCACAATGAGCGGCTGAAATGTCTTCTTCTTCGTCGCATTTCAAGCTTATTGCTTATCGCATATTAGCTTATTGCGTGATCTTAACGTGATCCAGAGCTTTCGATGCCTGTTCGATTTTTGCATTAGTATAATTGTGTGGCAAGTACAATCATACTCTATGCCCAGGGAAGTCGAGAAATTTTCCAACCCGAACAATTCCTAGATCAGACCGGGAATCGAACCCAGGTGGCTCCAGTATGGTCTTGCTTTGTAACTGCGCCTTTTTACTGACTGACTAAGGGAGGCCCCGAACGTCGGGCAATACATAACTGACCGTTTGGATTACCCTTGGCTGATAAAGTCAGAAAAAAAAAACTTTGTTCCTTATCAAAAAAAATGTAGACCCGTATTTTTCATTTCGCCCTTAGAGTGCACCTTCCTGAGTTAGGGAGGTCTAAAAAAAATCGACATTTTTGCCTCTATTCTCAACTGTTAGAATTCATAACTTTTGAACTACTGGACCGATTTTGGATCTTTTTTCAGCAAATAAATGATATTTGAAAATGATCTCTAGAAAAAACAAAAACAAAACAAAAATGATCAAAAATTGTGTTTATGGATTTTATACTGCAATGACCAAAGACACCCTAGGGTTATATATAATAGAGTGGGTCATCGTTATATGGAAAAACGCAAACTTTACCTCATCAATCGAGAACAACCTTTTTTTGGTTCCATTTGGAGCTCCAAACAGCTGTGCAAAATTTGAGGACGATTGGTTGTAATTCGGCTTTCCGCATTGCGATTGAAATTTGTATGGGAAAAACAACTTTTTTGCATTTTTATCCCTAGAGACCACAATTTAGCATGAACAGTGCAACTAAGTATGTAGTATTAAACTGATGCAAAATTTGACTTTTTCGCTCCACAGTGCTTAAATGGTTACAAATCGGGTCCTGATTAGCCTTCCAAAGTTACAACTCATTTGGTTAGAAACAGACTTCGCACAAGCCATTTGAAGTTTACATGTAAATTTGTCTTTTTCCATATTAAGCAGCGAAACAGTTTGATAGCCATTCTTAGAGAAAATTTTCTCAGCTACAACTTTGCTCAAGATCGTTTCTATGTAAAACGAGACAGGAAAATGTTTTTAATTATTTAAGAGATTGGTAAACTTACGACATGATCAAGCAGCTGCTCTGTAGGCAACACTGTATTTTGCAGTGTGACATAGTAGCCATGATTTTTGTGCTCTATTCTAAGCACCAGAAAAACCAATGCTGCCTGCTGAGCAGTTGAATGAGCATGATCATAAGACATCAGCGCATTGAACCATTGATAACTTTCGACCCTTGCATTTAATCAAAAACTGAGCAAAGTTGTAGCTGGGAAAATTTCTTACAAGTAAAGTTGAAAGTTTTTGAGGCATACCGATATGGTGAATTATTAGATAGGCAAGAACAACAATCTTGGTTATACCATAGTAATTCCCATACAAACTTCAAATGGTTTGTGCCATCACAGTTTCTCACCAAATGGGTTCAAATTTTGAGAGGTTAGTCAGGATCCGATTTGGAATCGTTTAAGTACTGTGGAGCGAAAATTTCAAATTGTGCATCACTCTCTTGTAGTATATATATATTCGAGGAAGTGTCTAACACTTTTGCCAAAGAAAGTATGGTGCTAGAATGTATCTAAAAAAAGTTATAACAATTCAAATATTTATGGTTTGAATTAAACACCAAAAATCCCTTTTTTCTGCCAACACTGTGCCAACATATGTGTAGTTGGAGAGGGGGGGGGGGGTAATAATATACCCCGTCCCCCTCACTCATATCAATAGTTTCAAACTGAAATAACTTCGGAGTTTCTTATCTTAACGATTTGGAATTATTCAAAAACATTTGCGTAGTTAGAGAGCGGGGGAAGGGGGCAAACTATATGCAGTTTTTAAAACAAAAAATGTTGTTTATTTATTTTCATCAACCGATGTAGACTAGTACAAATACATATACAAATTTGTTTTTCTTAAGAACATATAAAAAAATTGTCTGCTATTCTATTTAAACTTCTTACGGGTTATGATTCCGTATGGAGTTAAAATATTGTTTTAGTTTATGCCGAGACATTGAAAAGTCAATGGTTTCGCAGTTGATTGTAAGACGCCATCACGTTGTAGTGTAAATATTTAATATCCACTTGTCCGTTCATTTGTTAGTGAGGAGATCCAGGGATGAACTAGCCTTCGGATAAAAATCTCTATAATAAAGATTAAAAAAAAAAGTGAGGAGATGTATTTTTGGATTATTAGCAGTTGGAAAATTTTAAATTTCTATATAAAGCTTTTATTTGAAATACTAAACTGCCATTAGGGCCACCCGCACCCAATACAGAAGTAGTCGTACCTACATCAGAAATCAAAAAAAAAAAAACAGGAGAAAACGAAAACTGTCTTTACCAGTTTCGTCTCAGACACAGGTACAGTTGGATTTCGCTTGTTGGGCTATCTTTAAGTGAGCTACGTTTCAGTTGGGCTACCAAGTCAAACGTCATTTCTAACAGTGCTGATTCCTTTTCGAAATTTCGACCGTCTTCATGCAAAAACCGGCAAACGAGTGGAGTAATGATACAGATTATGTCAATGCGATACAACGGGTTACTTCCTTGATGGTCGTCAACGATATGACTGAATGAGGGGTGAAGCTAATTTTTGACTTATCAAGAAATCCACCAGAGACCTAGTTCAACAGCAATATTTGCTTCAGGGGATAGAAAAGCATCGAAAAAAGTACCCTGAGAAATGGTAGAATATATTAAAATGAAATATAACCGTTACAATCCAATGACATTTGTGTGAATATATCTGACGTTGTACATTGCACCAAAAGAGTAGGGAAGGAACTGGGGGTACTCGCTTTACAACTACTCTTATGAGATTGAGCAAATGTTTTTGAATAACCCATCCAATTCGAGAGATGTTTTTCTCCTTTAGCTTACTTAAATCTTTGGTTTTAATTAGTTAGGTAGGTTCCGATTCAACACATTGTAGTTTCATTTATATACCTGTGATCTTGACTTTTATACCTAGGGGATGAGTACTTAAGGGGGTTAGATTCTGATAAGTTCTTTAGTGGGAATGACACTGATGAAGACTGCACATTGTAGTCGAAATACGTATCTGTCATGGATACCAAAATTAATTAAGTGGAATTAAATGGAAGATAACCTTTTTTGCTGTTTTATTAAAGCATTCCGCTAACAACCCAATTTCATTACTTCATTATGATGGCTACCAAGCCTTTGGGATTTTCCTTATTAGAGAGTTGAATAAATTTTTCTCCTTTAGCTTACTTAAATCTTTGGTTTTAATTAGTTAGGTAGGTTCCGATTCAACACATTGTAGTTTCATTTATATACCTGTGATCTTGACTTTTATACCTAGGGGATGAGTACTTAAGGGGGTTAGATTCTGATAAGTTCTTTAGTGGGAATGACACTGATGAAGACTGCACATTGTAGTCGAAATACGTATGGATACCAAAATTAATTAAGTGGAATTAAATGGAAGATAACCTTTTTTGCTGTTTTATTAAAGCATTCCGCTAACAACCCAATTTCATTACTTCATTATGATGGCTACCAAGCCTTTGGGATTTTCCTTATTAGAGAGTTGAATAAATTTTTCTCCTTTAGCTTACTTAAATCTTTGGTTTTAATTAGTTAGGTAGGTTCCGATTCAACACATTGTAGTTTCATTTATATACCTGTGATCTTGACTTTTATACCTAGGGGATGAGTACTTAAGGGGGTTAGATTCTGATAAGTTCTTTAGTGGGAATGACACTGATGAAGACTGCACATTGTAGTCGAAATACGTATGGATACCAAAATTAATTAAGTGGAATTAAATGGAAGATAACCTTTTTTGCTGTTTTATTAAAGCATTCCGCTAACAACCCAATTTCATTACTTCATTATGATGGCTACCAAGCCTTTGGGATTTTCCTTATTAGAGAGTTGAATAAATTTTTCTCCTTTAGCTTACTTAAATCTTTGGTTTTAATTAGTTAGGTAGGTTCCGATTCAACACATTGTAGTTTCATTTATATACCTGTGATCTTGACTTTTATACCTAGGGAATGAGTACTTAAGGGGGTTAGATTCTGATAAGTTCTTTAGTGGGAATGACACTGATGAAGACTGCACATTGTAGTCGAAATACGTATCTGTCATGGATACCAAAATTAATTAAGT